AGTGATGTGGAGCATCTTTTCATGTGTCTCTTGGCCATCTGTATTTCGTTTTTGGAGAACTGTCTGTTCAGTTCCTCTGCCCATTTTTTAATTGGGTTATTTGTTTTTTGTTTGTTGAGGCGTGTGAGCTCTTTATATATTCTGGACGTCAAGCCTTTATCGGATGTGTCATTTTCAAATATATTCTCCCATATCTGCTGCTGTTTTGTTCCTTCAGTTTTTTCTTCGTTGTTATACTCCACAGATAAGTGAAATCATTTGATACTTCTCGTCCATTTGTTTTTATGGTTAAACTCTGAAAAAGCTGTCTATTAGTACTTAAGTGAAAAGGCTTGATATTTTGAACAAGGAACCTTCTATTGGAAGTCCAGAAATTGGGGTACAGTTGAAAGATGAATATAGGAGAGCAGTAATCATGTAATTCGGTGGGCAGTGAGGGGATATGTGACCAAATATCCTGAAATACTTAAACTAGTAAGAGGAAAATTGGTCAAGTCAGATACATGAGGAGCTGAAGGGACAAGTGGATGGTGTGAGAGTAGTGGAAATTTAATATTGGTAAGAAAATATGGGTCAAGCATTGGAACTCAATGGAATTGGGGACGTCAAGGAAGTATGGGGCATTTCAAGGATCTCAAGGTATAGAAAATGGACTAATGGGGGAGAGTAAGGGAGTGGGGAAGAAAGTGATTGATTTTGGGATTGCAGTGAGTTTAATATTGTGGACAACAGCGATGGGGTGAATGTTAAGGAAGGCTGCAGCACGATATTGGAGGGATAGTAATCCAAATATTTGGGGAACAACAGAACGGATCCTGAAATAAGGGGATCAGATGGGACTGGAAATTTCAGAGACTATTGGAGCAATGTTAAAATTGTAGGGAACTGAAAAGAGGAGACTGAAAAAGAGGGATTTATTACATCAGAGGTACCATAATTACAGACATTTCCAAGTACAATATATGCAATATTAGAGCACTGCGTTTTGACATATAACATTCGAGAGTAAACAGAGATGCAGGTGGGTGAATAACCTGCTAAGGTGGGTTTGGCATTAGGCCTTTTTGGGTCTGAGATGACAAACACTTAGGGATCGGGTAGTTTTCCAGCACGAATTCTTGTCAATGACTGATTCCCCAACCCCTTCGTTTTGGGTCGCATAGCTCTGGAAGGGCTCTGGGCCAGAATGAAGCCACCCTGCAGTTCCCAAAGACACAAAGACAGCCCTCCCGTGGACTCCACCGGGGCCCCAAGGTCTCATCCCACGCAGCGCATCAGCTATGGGCCTGCGTCCCAGGAACTCTGCAGCAGCGGATCCCAAGCCATCCGAGGAACTCTGCAGCAGCGGATCCCAAGCCGTCCGGGACGCGACGAGCACTTGGCCTCCTGGCATGACAGCTCCTCCGGCTATGGGCCGCAGCTCGGCTCCGCAGCGACAGCGGCAGCAAAGCCTAAGGCAGGAAATACGCGAAGTCCGGGTCAGCGCAAGCTCCTGGGTGCGCTGCCCGCTACCCTGACAAACGCTGCTCACCTTGTCCTGAGCTCCAGCGGCGTCCGCTGCGCGCTCAGGTTCGCCAGCTCCCGCCCCCCAAGCTCTGACTGCGCCAGCGCGGGGACACAGCTGGATCCTCCTGGGGGCGATGCAGCATCACAGGGCTCCTGCCCAGCCAGGGGCCAGGGCGCCGACCCTCCGCACTGGGCCTTCTCTGGAAGGCCAAAGGCTCAGGTCTGGCTCATCCCTTATAGAACAGAAGGTTGGGCTCGCTGTGCGCGCCCCAAACACAAAATGATGGGCCCCCTGCGCATGTCCCTACCTCAAAATTGTAGGGTCCAGGAACATTATCCTAACGATAAATAGGGTTCAACTGCACCCGGAGATTCTAAATGTTGGGTTCTGACTGCCTCCTCCCCTAATCTTCAGGTGCAAACAGGCCCTTCCTTCATTATTAGCAGCTGCTTCGGACGCTCCTACTGATGGACAGTTACACAAAGGTAGTGACAAGCAGGGAAGAAAAAAAGCATCAAAAGCTAGATGAAGGGGGGTACAGCGTGTCTCCAAAACACAAAATGACGATCCTCTCATTCCCGCCTCGCGCCCTTCCCCACCCGGTCCCGCCCTGGCCGCTCAGGCAAGCTGTAAATGGATATAGGTGAAGATGCAGGAGGTGATGGAGAAGGCGATGGCCGCGTAGATAAAGATGGAGAGGTGCGGGAAATGGTCGAGATAGCAGCCCTCGTCCAGTGGCGGCGCCTCGTCCTTGGGTGGGGGTCGCGCACCGGCCTTCGGGGGCAGCCCGGCGCGGGCCCCCTGCGCTCTCCCGCCCGCGCGCCGCCCAGCCTTCTTGCCCGCGGCCGACTTGGGCGCGCGGGCAGCGGGGGGCTCTTCCTGGGGGAGGCTTGTCAAACAGGCCTTCGGAGTCAGCGTCGGGGTCCCAGGGTTTGCGCTGAAAGAGTTCGTCAGCCATTGGCGAGAAGAGCGGGGTGGCGGGTGTGCGGGGTCTGGCGGTCGCGTCCGCGCCGGGTGCGAGCGCAGTGGGTCGCCGCGGCTGCTGCAGCGGGGTTTATACCCCTGAGGGGCGGAGCCAGCCGAGCCCCTTTCAGACGTGGCTCCTCTTTCCCTGGCTCCTCCTTCCGCTGCCAGCCTGTTGCAGAGGTTGGCTCTCCAGGTTCCAGCTCCGGGATCTCCAGGCCTGGCGGCTCGGAAGTCTCCGTGAACCCTGGTTTGTTTCCATGGCAAACTAACGCGCGGGGGTTCGGTGGGTGGGGCTCAGGAGGGCGGGGATGCGAGCAAGGGGTACCCAGGGGCCCGGGGAGCGAGAACCGGGCTTGGCGAGGAAGAAGCTGAAATGGAGACTGCCAGGATCCCAGATGACTGCGGAGCTTCTCCAGGGATCTCGCTCTCCTTTTAAAATAAATGCTTATTGTGTGTGTCTTTTAAATTTAAAATTTAATGCATGAAAAAAACTAATACAAATTCTTTGTAGAAAATATGAAAGCACTATGAACAAAAACAGTAACAAAATGAAGGTTCCTACAAGCCCAAGGTCCAGAGATAGCACGCACGGTCAACATGTTGGCATTCTTCCCCTCCTCATTTCCCTCTTTCCCTACATCTACTCCTGTTTCTGTTTATCCTGGGGTTTGTCTTGTGTGCTTCACCCATAAACGCAGGATCCTAGCCTTTAGGGCATCTCCCAGATGATTAGGAGCAAGGACTTTCAAAGGCCACCTGATCTGAGCCCTCCTCTCACCCACCTCTTGGCATCCACCAGGCCCTTCTCTGGCTTCCACTGGTTCTGCCACAGACTCCTAGGCACCGCCATCTCCTGGCACCTCTGTTGCACCCAAGGTTCCAAGGCTGGTTGTTGTCCCCTTGTGGAATGTGGGGAGAACAGCCCTAGGACTTGTTTGGGTCTCAGTGGGTTGGAGGGGTAAGCTGGAAGGCCCTGCCAGTTGCAGCACAACCAACTTAAACTGTCACCAGGGGACTCGTGGCCTCTTGCAAGTGGAAGGAACCAGAGGCAGGGTGCTGGAACAGTGTCACCGGCAGGCTGTTTCCCTTCTCTCCATCTTACAGTATTGTCAAGTATTTCCTGCGGGGCCAGAGCTTACCACATAGTGGTAGGTGGGCAAACTGTGTTGAGTGAGTGGCTGTTGGCAGCTGCAGACTCACAGGGTTGCAGCTTAGCAGCTCCACCTGCAAGAGCTGCTATTTGGTGAGGAGGTGGAGAATATGGGGCCCTCTGACACTGTTGTTGGGCATGTAAAAAAGTGTAGTTCTAGTTTCTGTGGAAAAGAGTTCGGCAGTTGTATGAAAAGTTAAGCATATACTTACCTATGGCCCAGGAATTCCACTCCAGAGAACTGAAAACATGTCGCGCGCCCCGTCCTCGCCGGCAAGAACAGCACGCAACAACAGCAGGATTCTTCTGCAGAAAGCTTTATTCTTCAGCTCTTTGTGAAACAAATGAGTTGGGCAGGACCTAGAGGGGAAGGAGAGGCTTGCTTATATAGTTCTCATGCTCTGACCTGGTTGGTGCGGCTCCATATGCCTTATTAGCATAACAATTTGGTGGGTCTCATTGGTCCTTATGCCAAGGCGCAATTAGCATGTAGTTTAGTGGTGTGGGATGATTTGTCATTAGGAAGTTCGGGGCCTTCCGGCTGCCCTGCATTGGGCGCTATTTTCTGAGCGCGGCTGCCAACAAAAACATATTTTCACAAGAAAACAGGCTTGTACATGAATGTCCATAGCAGCATTATTGGTAATAGCCCTGTCTTGTTAATGGGTTTCAGCCCTGGACAAGTTCACTATGGAGTCAGTGAGACGGAAAAATGACAATGGAACATTCTTGGGGTGAAAAGGTTTATCCTCAACTTTATTCCCATGATGGCAGGTCAGTCAATAGAATCCCATCACTCAGAGTGAATCTGCACGCAGCAAGCCAGTCTCTGTCTCTGGGCCTCTCTACCCCTCCAGCCATCTCTGTCTCTGTCCTCGGCGCTGCCACCACTCCATCTCTGTCTCTGTCCTTGGTGCTGCCACCACTCCAGCCTCTGCTCTTCTGCAGCCTTGCAGCCGTGTCGCCCAGAGCATTGGGCAGAGCTCTTTATATAGAGTCAATAACAACGTATTGCTCACACATGTGTAATGAGCAAGCCAACCAGGGCCAGGAATCCTGGCCATGGAAACCTTCACATTATCCACAAGCCCCAACCTGGAAACAATGAACTGTCCATCAAATGGTAAATGCATAAACAAAATGAGGTTTATTTGTGCAATTGAGTAATATTCAGCAATAAAAAAGTGAACTACCTATAAATGCTATGACATGGATGAACCTCAAGAACATTATATTAAGTCAAAAAGGCCAGATGTACAAGACCACAGATTGTATGATTCCATTTATGTGAAATGTCCAGAAAAGACAAATTTACTTATGGAAACAGAAAGCAGAAAGCTGGTTGTGGGGAGAGGGAGAGGTGCATAATTGCAAAGACGTGCAATGCAACTTTTTAGAGTGATAGAAATGTTCTGCATTTGGAATGTGGTAATGGTTGCACAACTCTTTAAATTTCCTACAACTAATGGATGTGTACAATTAAAGCAGGTAGCTCTTATGGTATATAAATTATACTTCAATAAGACTATTGTTTTTTAAGAAAAAAGCTGCACTGAGTTATCATTTTTTCAGATACCAGATAGGCTAAAGCCAAATAAATTAAAACATAACTATGTGATTTTATTCACAGTTTTGTGGGTCATTTGGGATGGTCTTCTGGTTGGAGTTGATTCAGCTGATCACCATTGAGTTTTGTCATTTGTCTGACATATCAGCTGGAGGTTGGATGATCTAGGATGACCTCATGCCCATGTCTGGAGGTGGGCAAGCTGTTAGTCATCTGACCTAATTCTCCTGCACATGGCTTTTCATCCTCTAGCAGGCTAGGGTGGGCTAGTTCACATGGTGGTCTCAGGATTCAGAGCACAGCAGGAAGGTGAGCTATAAAGCATAAACACTCCAAGTCTCTGCTTGCATTATATTTGCTGTCCCACTGGCCAAAGTGAATCACATGGCCAAATCTGGATTCAAAGCCTGTGCAAAGTCACACTGCAAAGTTGTGGGCAGAATTAATGGCCAATTTTTGCAATCTACCACAGAGAAAAAGAGAGTTAAAAAACTCCTCTGTGGCTATATGGCTAGTAAGTTGCAGAGCCAGGATTCTGGTGCTCAGTTTTTACCTATGATGCCATATACTGAATGGCGTTTTCAAGGAGTGGTGTTTGAATGTAGTATGTGAGATGGGGAGGGGTTGGATATATAGCCAGAAAGAAAGTGAGACTTTATCCTAAAGACACTAGAAATCCATTGCAAGACTGAAGTCATTTTGGCATTTTAGAAAGCTCACTCTGGCCATAGTATGGAGTCTGGACAAAAGGGGAAGGGGTTGGTGGCAGAGTGACTGATGAGGACTTTATTGCATTAGCCTAGGTTAGAGATGAAGAGAGGGTGAAGTGGCAGTGGGGACGAAGAGAAGAGGGCAGAGTCAAAGGATATTTTGGAGCTAAAATAGGATTTTGCTGAGCTCTGACAAAGGAGGGAAAGGGGTAACTGAAGCTTCCCCAGCAGGTCTGGAGGGAAAATTATGAGTTATTTTGTGGCCATGTTGGCTCTGAGGTCCTTATGGGACATATGAGAATAAATGACCCTTTGCCAACAGTATCCCAAGGTGAAAGGTCTAATATAACAATCTAGATTTGGGGATTATAGGCATGGGGCTAAGGTTGAAGTCATAGGCATAGATGGTTTGCCCAAGATGGTGGGAAGAGATGAGGCTTTGCAGAGCATCCTGAGGACCACCAGCCTTTACAGGATGGGCTGAAGGAAAGACACAGATGAGAAGTCAGAGGAACTCAGTTTGGGGATAAAGAACTCCAGGGAGTGGTTGAGGTCAAATTCAGCAGAAAAGTTAAAGATGATCTGAGTGGAGAAAATGCCATCTAATTTAGCAATCCAGTCATCAGAGACCTTTGCCAGAGCTTGATGTTTGGGTGGTGGTGGAGATGGGCAATAAATCATGGATGGCTGAGATGTGAACAGGAGGTGAGGAAATGGAATATTCTTTTAGGGAGTGAGAACATGTTTCAGACTTGGAACAGAAAGTATGCTCTCCAGTCATTCTGATGCTTTCTACCTGTAAAATATTTGGAAAATCATTTCATCTCTATAGGTCTTGGTTTTCTCCTCTGTAAAATGGGCTTCAGAATATATACAAATTGAATTCTAATAACAATAAAATTAGGTTCAGCATTTCCCTAATGATTGAACACCCCTAGGGATAAATGAGACACTATTAGGTGGCACATGAACGCATTTAAAAAAATGGCTCTGTATTTATTTTGCTGTGTTTCAGAAAAAGATAAAGCCAGCATACTGAATTCAAGATTTCACAGATGTTATTACTGCTTAGAAGTCTAAACATTTCTAAGTGAGTTAAAATTAAAGAAGACCATTAAGTAAAGAAGCTAACAGATGTCCTACAGTTACGGCAAAAATCAACAAGCCTGAATCAGGAATACCTGAAATTTGGGAAGTGCTGGGACAATGCATGTGCAAATGCTCTTACACTGTATGGTTCTTTAGAAACATGAGTGATTATTATTAAAAAATGGTCTTGCTTCACTGAAGGTAGTGGTGAGTCCCAGGAGAAATGGAGGAGGGGAGTTCAACTCCCCCATAATCTCCACCAGTCACCCATTCTTTGATATGGCAATGTAGATTTTCTCAGTTTTATTTGAAGTGTCATGTGAGGCAAACAGTTTTAAGTCGCCCTTATCTCCTTTCAACCGGATTTATTACTTTCAAGTCTCTTTGCTGTTGGAAATCCTGAAGCCACCTCTGCATTGGTCCGTGTCTGGAGCCTCGGTTCTTCCACTGGGCCCCAAGGCCCTGGGCCAAGGAAGTTTTCAAGTTGCAGACCAGAAGGAGAACATGAGAGCATGCATGGAAGAGCTGTGTGTGAGGCTGAGACATGGAGAAAGCCACAGCAGGTGGAGTAAGCAGTGGGGGAAGGCTCAGGAGCAGAAGGGAGCCTTCAGCAGGGCCAGGCCAGGACTTGGTGGGGAGCGGCTGGCTAAGTGAGGGGTGAAGGTACAGATGTGCTTAG